CTGTCTAAGAAACAGTGAGAGAAGCACATTCAAAGGTAGCTTTCAAAATGAGATTTGAACAAGATGCTTGAAAAGGAGACATTTTCAGGGTTGGGAGGAAACGGCCGACAGAGAGGGGGACTATGTGGATAACTCTTTCAAAGAGCTGACATGGGTACACTGGGTCAAATGGCCTCCCGATTCTGTGCTGTAAGATTTCCCATTTCAATGGTTAAAAAGTTGATCAGCTTGATACTGTACTGTCAGCTGGAGGTTGATGTTATCCAATCTGCACTCAAAGGGCTGGGAGGAGTGTTCCAGTTAGCCTGTGAGCCATTGATATCGGGAATAGCGAGGAAGACTGCTCCTGATTCCAGATCTGAAGCCTGACAGGTTTAAATGAAGGGAAAAATTAAACTTTGCATTTGTGTAGTGCCTATCAGAAACATGGAATGTCCTGAAAGTGCTTTAAAACTAATGGAATGGTTCTGAAATGTAATCACTGACATAAAGCAGGAAATGCAGCAGATAATTTGTGCACAGCAAGCTCCCACAAACAGCACCAAGATAAATGATCAGGTAATGAAATAACTCCAAAGAAGCAGGTATCCTGTCACCAAGACACCCTTTATTTACACATGAACAGACCTTAATTATATACAGCCTTATTCACAGTCAGGTACCAGAGTGTCAGTATCTCTGACACGCTTTTTAATCTGTCAGCCAGGGCTCCCTCATTGGACCAGATTAACAGCCCCAATCAGGAACTCCAATTCTATGAGGTCCAGCTGGCTGACCTTGTTACAATCACTACAAGATAAATTGTTTTATTTGCTGGGTGAGATTTAAATATTATCCAGGATGCCAGCAAAAGCAGGCCTATTCTTTGCCAAAAAACCATACCAGAATTATTTATTTTTACCCGGGAGGTGAGTGGAGACGCGATTTAAAGTCTTCTCTGGGAAACTGCTCCTCAGACAGAGCAGCACTCCCGTGGCTAGGGATGGGTCTGGTCAGCCTGCATTGCACACTCACATCTCCAGAGTGGGACGTGAACCTGTGACCTGCTCTTTCAAAGACACAAGTGTTATATTACTGCGCCATGGACGCAGAAAGGTCAACATAAGAAAGAGGAGAGAAGAAAGAAGGCTATTTGGACCATCGAGCCTGCTCCACCATTCAGCAAGATCATTGTCTATCCAATGTGGTCTTCGCTTGACTGTCATGCCTCTTCCATCATTTAACCTTAGATTCCTTGTAAAAAAAAAATAACTAACTCAGCTCTGAATATATTCAATGACCCAGCCTCCACTAGCCTCTGGGGATTGGAGGGGACAGAATTCCAAAGACTAACAACCCTCTAAGACAGAAAAGAAATCGTTTGTTGCTCTTGTTATAAATGGGAGACATTTTTTCTGAAACTGCGCCCCCAGCTCTAGATTCCCTGACAAAAGGAAACAGCATCTACCCTATCAAGCTCCCTAAGACTCTTATATGTTTCATTGGAGTCATCTCTCAATCTTCCAAACTTCAGTGAGCACAGGCCCACTCTAATCAAACCTCTACTGATTAGACAAACCCTTTAATTGAAGGAATCAACTGAGTGAACCTTCTGTGATTTACCTCCACAGGAAGTATATTCCTCCTTAAGTAAAGAGGCCAAGCTTGCACCCTCTGCTCCAGGTATGGTCTCATTGTATCCAACCTATAAGGGGCTGAATGACCTCATCCTCCTTTATTCATTCACATGGATGGGGACATCACTGCCTAGACAGCATTTATTGCCCAGAGGGCAGTTAAGAGTCAACTACATTCCTGTGGGTTTGGAGTCACATATAGGCCAGACCAGGTAAGGATGGCAGTTTCCTTCCCTAAAGGACGTTGGTGAACCAGATGGGTTTTTCCTGACAATGGATTCATGGTCATCATCATTCTTAATTCCAGATATTTATCGAATTCAAATTCTGCCATCTGCCGTGGTGGGATTCAAACCCGGGTCCCCAGAACATTATCTGGGTCTCTGGATTAACAGTCCAGCAATAATACCATTAGGCCATCGCCTCCCCTGATCCTACAATCTTCTGAAAAGTTTTCCTGCAATCTGTGGTGGAGGCTTGTACATATGTAGGGGCACGCAAGGACAGCAATTTTTTCCAGTGGTGCCTATGGGAGTGCAGAACTTATTGGCTCTTGGGAAACCAGAACTGAAAACAAAAGGAAACCATGGCAGCTGTTCATCTTCTCTCACTGCTCCCAGCCCGGCCTCTAAAGCTAAACTTGAAGTTACAAATCTCCTAAGGATATGACAAACATTACACGGCCAAAAACGTATAGATTCAGATCTAACACTGCTGGGTGCGGCGGCATTGTTCACTTCTGAAATGCTGATCAGTATGACCCACATGACACTCTCTAATGTGACCAGCCTGGGGAAGTGTGAGACAAAGAGAGAGATCAGCGAGGGATGAATCTCCAGGCAGGAGACAACCTGGGTTGCCAACCCTTCAGGATTACCCTGGCATCTGCAGTGTGGGAGATTACCATCCCTAGGCAATGGTTACGCTGAGCAATGTCCTGGAGGAAAGTCATCCCTGGGAGAGGACCAGAAAGGAGAATTAGAATTTATGCACGTTGAATACCTCGGTTCTACTTGCAGTAGAAATGCTGAAATACTTCCTCCCTGGCTCACCATTATCCATTCTTTTGTGTGCTTACCTGTCTTTCTCTCCCTCTGTGCTCTGTCTCCACCTATCACTCACTCCTTTAAACCCATCCTCCAACCTCAACCCCACACACCGCCTGTCTTCAGCATATATACCATCTTTTCCCAGTTACTACCAGTTCTAAGAGAAGGGTCACTGAACTTGAAACATTAAATCTCTTTCGCGCTTCACAGACGCTGCCTGCTGAGTTTCTCCACCAATTTCTGTTTTTGTTTCAGAATAAAAGCTAATTTTGGAGACAGTGGAATGCACTGCCCTAGAGTGTAGTGGCATAGATTATGGCTTTCAAAAGGGAATTAGCCAAATGCGGGAGGGAAAAGAAAATCACAGGGTTGCGGGGAATGGTTGGGTGAGTGGTAAGAGCTAAATTATTGTTGCAATGAATCAGAGTGGACTTGCACAGCCAAACAACCTCATTCTACGCTGTAACCCTCCTATCAATGAAACATCAGCTGGACCTATCAGGTGTGTGTGTGCCAGAAATTCATAGTCATACCACCCCCCTCAAAAACACTCTGAGAACTATTCAACTCTTGACAGGGATGATGTAGAGAGGTTGTTTCCCCTTGTGGGAGAGTTTAGGATGACAGGGCATCATCTCAAGCGTAAAGAGAAGCCTCTTTAAGGAAGGACGGAGAGGAGGAAGAATATTTTTTGCCCTCACGGGATAGTAAATCTGTGAAATTGTTTGCTGCGGAGGGCTGTCAGAGTGGCATCATTAAGTATATTCGAGGCTGAGATATTGTGGTTGGTTGGCTCGCCGAGCTGGTTCGTGGTTTTTCCGCAAATGTTTCACTACCCTGCTGGGTAATATCATTAGTGCCGCCTCCGATGAAGTGCCGTTGTGTTTTCCCGCTTGTTATTTAAACTCTGGTGTCCGTTGAGCTGGATCACCTCACTTCCGGTTTTCCTTCGCAATGGAGTATATATGGGGTCCACCTCTATGTGTTTGTTGATGGCTTTCTTCATGGAGAACCAGGCTCCTAGGAATTCCCAGTGAGGTAATCCAGTTCAACGCACACCAGAGTTTAAATTACAGGTGGGAAAACACACTGGCGCTTCATCGGAGGCTGCACTGATGATGTTACCCAGTATGGTAACGAAACATCTGCGGAACTGCAAACCAGCTTGCCGAGCCAACTAACCACAGCATCTACAACCTGAGCTACAAATCTACTCTAAAACCTTGAAGGCTGAGATAGACAGATTTTTAATTGAGAAAAAAAATAAGAGTTATGGGGAAGAGGCAAGAAATTGGAGTTGGGGATTATCAGATCAGATCTCGTTGAATGGCAGAGCAGACTCGATGGGTTGAATGGCCTACTTTTACTCCTACATCTCACAGTCTTACGGTCTGATCCCACAGTCTGGGAATTGGTCAGATCTCTGATTCAGCATTGCCTCCCCCTGAACAGCCTACAGAATTCCGTATTGTGAGAATTGGTACAAAGATATGAAGCATGTTGATGTACTGGTTAACAGTTTATCAACTACCCAGCAATTCTACCAGGCAGTTCCTCCTGAACCTCATTGAGCTTCTTGTCACAATCTCACAGGTCGGCCTCAAAGTTTGAGCAAGGATTTCGCTTTTAGCTTTATTTCCTCAGTGGAGACAACTAATCCAAGAGAAAGCCATTTTCTCATGGATATTTTTATTCAGAAACATAGGGTTCTCTGTCGGGGTTTCATATCTTCTTGAAGGTATTAAGGAAGGCTTCCCCCATTCCTTCTCCCCTTCAACCTGGTGCTACCTACTGGACATGTCATTATGGATTTAGCCTGTTAGAAGGACGTTAAATTTAAACGGGGGAGAGTTCCCACAGGCCTGGGCCAATAGAGGTCCTTAATGGTGGGTCTTTAACTCTGTGACTTAAGGGCACAATCCTGGCCAATGTGATGAGACAGCAACAGTCTGGATCAGCTCCCCACTTTGTTACCCAGGGACAGGGAGCATGTGGCTGCATCAGGAATCAAAATAGTCATTATGTATGTTAATGCTCAGCGACATTGGAAACAACGCCCCCAGTCTGCAGCAAACCCCCATCAGATTCCCTGTTGAAGGGATGGAACATACTTTTTGACATGTGTGTGACACTAGTTACCACACACTAATACAATAAGCCAAGTTATTACACCTTAATGGAACACATAAAGTCCAATCAGCTGCACTTAGTGTTCCATGATAAAGAGATTCCGAAAGGACGCTAACCTATTGTCATTTTATACTTTATGTGTTTATGAACCTTTCATTTTTTTTTCATCCGTTTTTCTTTTCTTGTTTTGTTTATTTTCTTGAAGGTTTATTTTATCAAATTTCTACAGAACAGAAAGGTCGAACAGACTTTGGATATTCCTGTAAGTTTGTTTCCTTTGTTACTTTTTGTTCTTTCGTTTGTGTTAATGGTTGTTTTATTTTGCAGCCTGCAGCTTTTGCTTTGACTATTTTGCTTTTGAGTTTGTCTTGTTTCGTGACAGGTGGGTGTATGGGGATTGGAGAGAGTGTGTGAGGGGTGTGGGGTAGAGTGTGTGGTATCTTTGATGGAAAAGGATTTTTTAAAAATCAATAAAACTTGCGAATGATTCATACAGGTCCATGTAGACTTGTGAACCTCAGCTCCAGTAACTTGCATTACTATTATTATTTTTATTCTCCTTTTCCCTTTGGGTGTGAGGCAGCAGGTACTTTCAAACACCAAGAGGCTTGAGGCCTAATGGTGAATTGTCAAGGAGAGCAAGCATAACAACATTGTTCTGTAGGAATCAAAAGAAACTTCAGAATTCATGGCAGCTTGTAAAGAAAGGCTGGATAGCTTGGGACTTTTTTCACTGGAGCGTAGGAGGTTGAGAGGTGACCTTATAGAAGTTTATAAAATAATGAGAGGTATAGATAGAGTTAATAGTAGGATGGGGGATTTCAAGACGAGGGGGCACATTTTCAAGGTGAGAGGAGAGAAATTTAAAAAGACACGAGGGGCAATTTTTTTTACACAGAGGGTTACTCGTGTGTGGAATGAACTTCTGGAGGAAGTGGTGGATGTGAGTACAATTACAACGTTTAAAAAACATTTGGACAAATACATGAATAGGAAAGGTTTGGATTATGGGCCAGGATCAGGCAGGTGGGACTAGTTTAGTTTAGGATTATGTTAGGCATGTACTGGTTGGACCAAAGGGTCTGTTTCTACTCTGTATGACTCTATGGCTATATCATTATACAACTGTGACTCCTATCGGTGAATCTCACAGTCTAAGCTAAATTCTTAGCCATTTTGAGTTTTCAGAATCAAATGCAGAAAATGCTGGAGAAACTCAGCAGGTCTGGAAACAGCTGTGGAAAGGGAAACAGAGCTCTGAAGAAGAGTCAGACCGGATTCAAAACATTAACTCTGTTTCTCTCTCCACAGATGTTCCCAGACCTGCTGAGTTTCTCCAGCGTTCTCTGTGTTTGTTTTAACACACAAAAAATTTGACATCATCCAGGATAAAGCAGCCCACTTGCTTAGTATTCCATCTATCCCCCAGATGCACAGTGGCAGTGGTGTGTACCATCTACAAGATGCACTGTAGTAAATATCCAAACCCCCTTCAACAGTACCTTCCAAAACTATGACTACTTCCATGTAGAAGGATAAGGGTAGCAGATACATAGGAACACCACCTTCTGAAAGTTCCCCTCCAAACCACTCACCGTTGTGACTCAGAAATATATGATAATTTCTTTAATGTCACTGGGTCAAAATCCTGGAATTCCCTCCCTAATAGCACTGTGGGTGTACCCACACTCCAAGAACTGAATAGGTTCAAGAAGGCAGCTCACCACTACCTTCTCAAGGATAGTTAGGGATAGGTGATCAATGTTGATCCAGCCAGCAATGCCCATTTCCATGAATCATAAAATAGTAATTGAAGAGGTTTGCATTAGAATGAGAAAGCAAAATGTATTTATCATCTGACCTCCATGTTGGTTTGAGGTTTCTTATGGATGGATTTCACCTCCAGGTCAAATTTTTTTTTAAAAAGTGAACGCTAGCAAAACTCATTCTCTGATGTCTGCAGCTCCTGATGTTAGCGTTTACTTGTGTTAGATATTTTAACTTTTCAATTTGACCTCACACCAAGACCTTTACTATATTTTCCAGTGCTAGTTTACAGTGACTGAAATTGCGATGTGATTTTGGAATTGCGTTTTTAGCATGTCGAGCCCAGGGTTCAAGCATTGAGATCATGAATAATGCCTGCAACATAGCTCCTTCATTAATTACCTGAAAAGGATCTGTGGGGTATGGCATTTTGAGGGATTGTAATTTTTTTTAAACCTTACCCTGGAGAATTCCCATGAGGGCAAGGAAAACAGTTCCTAATTACCCATCTCCTTTTGCTGTTTTTCCAAACCTCACTCCAACTTTTCCCTCTTCCTCTTCCTATTTTAACTTTTCCTTCCCTATTTTCTCTTCCAAACTCCAGGCAAGCCAGGAATTTCACAGGGATATGACAGCATTTTGTTTGCTTTGTTTTTATGAAAAGGCCATGTTACCATTTAGTAAAACTGAGGAGTAATCTGTATTTCAAAGATTGACAGATACCAATGGATCCAATACATCAGAGTGAGGAAATAATCTATATGTGAACCAACTGCTCTCACTGACTGGCCTGAACTGTCTCTATAGGTGCTGGTGCCCCACAAATGAATAGAATTCATTTTGTGTGAGACTGGTAAGAAAATGCATCACCACCATATTCTTGGTAATGTCTCCCAGCCTTACAGCCTTTTTTGCAACTCCTCCATACTCCTCTAATCTTAGCCTGTTTCACATTTTTGATTTTAAACAGTATATTTCCCCCTCTGGTGATCATTCCTCCAGCTGCTCAGGCCCTAAACTCCTAAACCTCTCTGTCTGATGAGATTGGTCATTTGAACTGGTTGGAAGCTTCTGGACTTCAATGGTGAACGTGATCCTTACATTTGGAAGAAAATGGTCTTATTAGTGATAGGCAGCATGGTTTTGTGCAGGAAAGGTCATGTCTTACCAACTCGATAGAATTCTTTGAGGAAGTGACAAAGTTGATAGATGAGGGAAGGGCTGTGGATGTCATATACATGGACTTCAGTGAGCCGTTTGATAAGGTTCCCCATGGGAGCCACTGCCCAAATATATCAGTTCACTCAACTTCCGAGAGTGCAATTCGACCGCTTCCACTCAGCTCCGCTGCCAAAGTGAAGAACTTACCCTCCCGGCAGCCCCCTGGTCGTCGCTCTCACTGTTCCTGCTGCTGCTGCAAAAATGAAGTGTCGTGTAACTTCTGACCTTGTCCATCCCAGTCCAACACCGGCACCTCCACATCAACATTGATGATGGTCATCATTTCCTTGTCTGATACCTGGAATGGGTGCGTTTCTGCTGGAGTTTAGAATAGCCAGAGGTGACTTGATTGAAACATATAAGATCCTGAGGTGACTTAACCAGGTGAATGTGGAAAAGATGTTTCCTTTTGTGGGAGAGACTAGAACTGAGGAGTCACTCAACGAAGACAGCAATAAGGAGTTTTCTTTTCCCAAGAGACTTGTGAGTCTTTGGATCTCCTTTTCTCAAAGAAAGTAGAAGCAGATGTTTCAATATTTTTCAGGCAGAGTTAGACTTTGAATAAGTGATAATACATTGTGGAGCTGAAGGAACACAGCAGATTAGGCAGCAAAGAGGAGCAGGAAAGTCGATGTTTCAGGTCAGACCCTTCTTCAGAAATGTTCAGAATTCTTCATTTCTGAAGAAGGGTCCTGACCCGAAACGTCAACTTTCCTGCTCTTCTGATGCTGCCTGATCTGCTGCGTTCCTCCAGCTCCACACTGTGTTATCTCTGACTCCAACATCGGCAGTTCTTATTATCTCTGATAGACTTTGAATAAGCAAGGCATGAATGGTTACTGGGAACAGGCAGGAATTGTGTGCAGTTTTGGTCTCCTTATCCGAGGAAGGATGTTCTGGCTACGGAGTGAGTGAAACAGAGGATTACCAGACTGATTCCTGGGATGGCAGGACTGATGTATGAAGAGAGAGACTGGATCGGTTAGGATTATATTCGTGGAGTTCACAAAAACTTTGGGGACGGGTGGGAGATCTCATAGAAGCCAGGAAGGATGATCACAGGGACCGTCCAGAATCAGGGGCCACACTTTAACGATACGGGGTAGGCATTTAGGACTGAGATGAGGAGAAATGTCTTCACCAAAAGACTGGTGAGCCTGTGGAATTCTCTGCCACAAGAAAGCAGTTGAGGCCAAAACGTTAAATGTTTTCAAGGAGGAGTTAGATACAGTACTTAGGGTGAAAGGGATCAAAGGGCATAGGGAGAAAGTGGGAACAAGACACTCATTTGGATGGTCAGCCATGATTCTATTGAATGGAGTAGCAGACTTGAATGGCCGAATGGCCTACTGCTGCTCCTAGTTGTGTATGTTTGAATGTGAAGCAGCATGCTTTAATGGAATGTTTATTGTAGCAAAAACTCTGTGGCTTTGCCATTATTTTGTTTTACTTAATTAATCATTTCCCGAGCAATACGAAGTGGTGGTGATTGTAGGGGGTGTAGGAACAATGGCACATCACTGTGTGTCAGTGTTCCTGATCACGTCCCAGAGGAGCTGAGTGCTTCCCCGGGGATGAGATGGCCTATGTGTTCCAACGGCCTCCTTTCTCCTTCCTGTGCAGCCGCGCCGGGATCCGACGACGTGGCCCTCTACGTTGCCGTGGTGGTGGCGGTGATCGTGTGCCTCGCCATTCTGCTGGTTGTGGTGATGTTTGTGTATCGGAAGAACCACCGGGATTTCAGCTCTGACATCAGAGACTCTGCAGCTCTGAATGGGGGCTTTCAGCCAGTGAACATCAAGACAACCAGGCAAGGTTGGTGTGTTCGGACTCTCTTTCCAGGCTTCCGTTTAAAATATGATAGTGATGTCTTTGTTCTGTGTGATCCAATATTGAGCTACTCTAGGCTGGGGTTACTGCTGTAACATTTCCCACCTTCGAACCAAGAGCTAAGACTGTATAAGCAAAGTTGCCATGATCCTACTGGGGCCATAGGACTAATGTCTCATGGGAGAGAGAGACAACTGGTGGTGGTTTAACCTGAGGGTCACCACACCCAGCAGGTGAGGGGAGAGGTTGAGAAGGAGAGTCCCTCATGGGTACCTCAGCCACTGCAGGAATTAAACCCACCCTGTTGGTATTACTCTGTATTGCAATCCAACTGTCCAGCCAGATGAGCTAACCAACTCCTGAGACCATGTATCATTTTCGACTCAGACTTTCCCTCATCTCATGATGTACATTGCTCACAAAGCAAATGCATCTGTCGGCTTCCATAGCTAATTTGTCCAGGAACATATCGTTAGCCTGTCACCAAGATAATATAAATTGAAAGATGACACTCCACATCAAATGTGACCAACTAGGAGTCTCTCCTGATCTTACCTCGTACTTTGAAAAGATTTACAGGTTGACAATCAATTGGTTTTCCACACCATAAACACATCTTCCATGGCTGTGGCATGGGACTCTGTAGCCTTTAGTAACTTCTACAATGAGCCAAAATCCCTTTCAAATAAAGGTCAACATTTCATTTGCCTTCCTGTAGAGGTGGATGATGATTGCATTGTACTTGATTACTGTAACACAAAATGTATAAAAATGCTGTATTTCTTTATAAAAGCAGAGGATGTGTCATTGATCTATCTTCTGAAGCCAGATTTGGGGAAAATCCTTTGGCCCTCTCCCTGAATAAACATCTTCCACAAGCCTGAATCCTGCCTGCCTCCTGAGTCTTTGTCCCGAGTTGAGAAATATGCTCCTACACTTCCCTATTATCTGCCATTGTACATTCAGCGTAATTAGGAAGGCAAATGGAACGTTGACCTTTATTTGAAAGGAATAGAAAAAGAAGTAGGAAGGTTTTGCTCAAAATACACAAAACATTAGTCAGACCAGAGATGGAATACTCTGATCAGTTTCAGGCCCGTTATCTTTGGAAAGATACACTGACAATGGAGGTAATCCAGAGAATGTTCACTAGGCTGATACCAGGAATGGAGGGACTGTCTCATGAGGAGAGGTTGATAGGTTAAGCCTGTACTCACTGGAGTTTAAAATAGTGAGAGGCGACCTTACTGACAGGTTAGATGTGAAAAGTGTCTGAGGAAGGGCCACTGGACCCGAAACGTTAACTCTGATGTCCCTTCACAGATGTTGCCAGACCTGCTGAGCTTTTCCAACAACTCCTGTTTTTGTTGGTGTAGATGTGGAAAGGTTGCTTCCCCTTGTGGGAGACCGTAAATCCAGAGGGCAAAATCTACAGAGTGGGAGGGTCACACATTTAAGAGAGAGATGAGAGATGAATTTCTTCTTTCAGAGGGTGGTCAAACTACAGAATTCTTTACTGCAGGGGACTGTTGAGCCTGAGCCATTAAGTACAGTGAAGGCTGAGGTCAACAAATTGTTAATCAATAAGGGAATCCAGGATTATGGGAAAAAGGCAGGAAAGCGGAGTTAAGGATTATCAGGTCAGCCACAATCTCATTGAATGGTGGAGTAGACCTGATGGGCCGAGTGGCCTATTTCTGCTTCTACGTCTTATGGTCTAACATTGATAAAATGCCCATCTCAGCATTGGAGTGATATTTCTTCTCCATCCCCTTCTTTCTTTGCCAACTTGTTTCTGAGCATTTACATTCACTTAGTGTCGAATGAACTCCTAACACCATCGCTAACCAACAGGATGTTTAGCTAAACTGTAACTTATGAGAGAATTTCGGGGAGATTCTTTCTTTCATTTTCAGCAGTGGTAGAGTAGAAGGAAATAGGAGAGGGGAGATGATAAGGGACCTGACTAATGTAGTCCTCCAGGCCGTTAGAGAAGTGTCACAGACTAGACCTGAGTGCTGATAGACTGGTTAATACCTACGTATCAGTCAATCACACAGCAGGTTCCTCTTTATCAAATCAAGGGGAGGCAATGGCCTGCTTCCACACTGTAGGGATTCTGTGATTCTATGCAGAAGTGATACCACAATGGGAAAATAATGCACTAAATCTGTCTTTATTTAGAATGGATGAAATTTGTTCCTTACAATTGCCACAGTTATCCTCTCATTCCCTTTGTGCAGATAACTCCCATCTCCTTGCTGTCCAGCCAGACCTTACAGCTGCTGCTGCTATGTACAGAGGCCCTATGTACGCCTTGCACGATATCTCAGACAAGATCCCGATGACCAACTCGCCGTTGCTCGATCCCCTGCCCAACCTTAAAATTAAGGTGTACAACAACTCCTGTGGGGTCCCACCTCAGGCGGAGGCAGGAGATCTAGCAGCAAAACTCTCCCCACAGCTCACAGAGTCTCTGCTTGACAACCAGGCCCAGAACGCCGAGCACCAGAGCCCTGTTCCGCAGAAAGATCCGTCATGCAGTGCTTTCGGGAGCTTCAACATCCTGGGAGGACATCTCATTGTACCCAACTCCGGTAAGTCTCCATAACTCTTCCTGCCTTTCCCAGGGGAGTGAGGGAAATGTAATTCAGCAGCTGGAAGCTTTGCTGTATTTGAACCTGCATTGTTGAGAAGGCTGAATATTTGTTTGGCAACATTTTCAAATTGAGGCTTTGTCCTCAAATTGCACAGAGCTGCCTCACATGACAACAGGTATCACATCATGGGTTGACCTGTTCAGAACTCAGCTACACTAATCAGCTTCAGTCAAGAGTTTTTTTTTAATTCATTCATAGGATGTGGGTATCACTGGCTAGGCCACTATTTATTACCCATCCCAAATTGCCCAGATAGCAGTGAAGCGTCAACCGCATTGCTGTGGGTCTGGAGTCACATGTAGATCAGACCAGGTAAGGATGGCAGTTTCCTTCCCTAAAGGGCATTAGTGACCCAGATGGGCTTTTTCCCAACAACGGGGACGACTTGTTGATCTAGGGGTATGATTCGTGTTTCGGATACTGTACAGTGTTGGCTTACGAGAGGTCCCGAGTTCAACTCCCGAATGAGCCCAGGCTTCTCATTTCAATTTGGGTGGCACGGTGGCTCAGTGGTTAGCACTGCTGCCTCACAGCGTGAGGGACGCAGGTTCAATTCCAGCCTCAGGTGACTGTCTGTGTGAAGTTTGCACATTCTCCTCATGTCTGCATGGGTTTCCTCTGGGTGCTCCAGTTTCCTCCCACAGTCCAAAGATGTGCAGGGTAGGTGGATTGGCCATGCTAAATTGCCCATAGTGCCCAGGGATGTTTGGGTTAGACATGGGAAATGCAGGGATAGGGGAATGGGTCTGGGTGGGATGCTCTTTGGATTGGTGGTATGAACTTGTTGGGCCAAATGGCCTGTTTCCACACTGTAGGGATTCTAAGATCCATGAATTGGCAATGGATTCATGGCCATCATTAGACTCTTAATTCCAGATTTTTTTTTAATTGAATTCACATTCCACTATCTGCCATGGTGGGACTTGAACTGGGTCCCCAGAACATTATTTGGGTCTTCGGATTAACAATCCAGCGATAATACCATTAGGTACCTCCACCACCTCCCAACAGTACCACAATGTCCATCAAGCCTGATGTATGTGGAACTCCTTTACCTTCATACCATTTGGGAAACATCCGCAATGGCCCTGAGAATCGAGGCTTTGGGGCGGCAGGTCCACATACTATAAGGAGATAAGGCTACCTCATGGAGATAAGACTTTTAGATCTGGATGCTTCCCTCTTTCTTCTTGGCTCTGGTTTTTTTTTGGATTTCTGCTTTTGATTTTAATTCTGGTTGTTGTATCTTAGATAGTTGCTTTGTTTTTGTATCTCGGTGTTTTTATTTTATTTGAATTTTTGTACCTAAGATGGTGCTGCCGAATGACGACTTCATACTCGTTTCACGGTATTTCTGTACCTGAGTACATGTGACAATAAAACCTAATTCTAATTCTAATCCTCAGTCATGGTCACTGAACCATTCTCTATCAAAATCACCTAAGTGGCTAAAATGCAAACAACAAGAAACTATAGACAAGGGTCATGGCTTCATTTCATTGGATGTAAAGCACTTTGAAACATCTTTAGCAGTACAGACTCGATGGGCTGAAAGGCCTTTTTTTCTGTAATGTTTGACTCTATGGTCACAAAAGGTGTAATCTAAGTAAGGACTCTTTCTCCTTTCTGCATCTCCAATTTTCCAACCACCTCTGGTGATAGGGATTGGATTGGAAGAATTGGATTGTTTTCTGTGGCCTTTTATCTCAAGTCGTCAACACTCTTATGTGACAGCGTCTTAACCCACGAGGAACTGGGCTCGTGGCGTAGTCACGGACAATACTGGAGAAACTCAGCAGGTCTGGCACCATCTGTGAGAGAGAAACACAGAGTTCAGGTTTCGAGTCCAGTATGTGTCTTCTTCAGAACTGAAAGGGGTTGGAAGATGGGTTTTCTTACACTTTTGACAGGAGCAGAGGAGGGGCAAGGAGGCAGATGGTGTGGAAGCCCAGCACAAAAAACACCTCCACATGCAGACTCCCAACCTAAGGGTAGGCAATGGCCTAGTGGTGTTTTCATTGGACTGTTAATCCAAAGGCCCAGATAATGTTCTGGAGACCCGGGTTTGAATCCTGCCACAGCAGATAGTGGAGTTTAAATTCAATAAATATCTAGATTTAAGAGTCTGATGATTATGAATCCATTGGTGATTGTCTGGAAAAGCCCATCTGGTTCACTAATGTCCTTTAGGGAAGGAAACTGCCATCCTTCCCTGGTCTGGCCTACATGTGACTCCAAACCCACAGCAATGTGGTTGACCCTTATACTGTTAGGGATGGGCAATAAATGCTGGCCTCATCCTGTGAATGAATAAAGGGGGAAAAAACCCTCTTTCCATCACATCTTTCTCCTTGCTCCTCCTCTGCCTCTGGCAAAAATATATAAAAAAGCCCATTTTCCAACATCTATCAGTTCTGAAGAGGAGCCACAAAAGACTCAATACATTAACTTTGTTTCTCTCTGATAGTGTGGTACTCCCTCAGTGCATCCCCATTCATTGAAAGATCTTTGTTTCTGTCTTTCTGTTTATCTGTGTAAGAGTTGAGTCCCAAAATAAACATTCCTTCCAAAAACTCAGGATAAATCAACAAGATCTCCAAAAGTCCTTCTCAAGTTAAATTGTAATGACATTCAGACCAACTCAGAATAAAGTTTGCCTGCTCAACAATTGCACTGCTTTGATTAAGTATGAAACAGGCGACAAAATTTATGCAGAGATAGCAGGAACTGCAGATGCTGGAGAATCTGAGATAACAAGGTGTAGAGCTGGATGAACACAGCAGGCCAAGCAGCATCATAGGAGCAGGAAGGCTGATGTTTCGGGCCTAGACCCTTCTTCAGAAAAATTCT